AATGTATTTTTAAATAATCAGAATTAAACCACAGTCAGAGTTTTCAAAGAAGGCATATTTGTTTCAGGATGCTGACTATTTCTCCAGAACTAACAGAATGTAATTGTTTTCCAACAGCGCTTGACAGATGAATTCTAGGTCCACACTCTTCAGCTTCCTCTCACTGCAGAAAGGTCTAGATCTGGTTTTTCATTTTGCTTTAATGTAGCTAGATGACTGTGCATCAGAGCCAGCATAACTGTGGCCTCCTAGTGAGCAATATGCAACCAGCGGAAAAAAAAAAAAAAAAAAGGACTACAGGATGCCACAGTTATGTGATACAAGACCTTTTTTGGTTGTCAGACTTGAATGTACAATTTCTGAAACATTCTCAGCTCAGCCAGTCCAGAAAAAAAGAAAATTGTAAGAATTATACATTGACTTCAGCAAGCTGATATTTATTGTTATGAGTCGGCAGTGGAGTCTATAGTCTAGAGCACAGAAACTGCATTCCATTGTCATCTGCTGACCTAAAAATCACTATTCAATATAGCTTTAAGACTATAAGATAAAGAYAGGCATCATAAAATCTGAAGTGTCACTGAAAGTGAAGCTATACATCACATCCAATTAACTTCCTCCTCTGTGARCTTTAAGTTAACATTGTTAGACTCAAAAAAGTTCTGACAGATGGAAATATTATTTAGCACCTCACTGTTTCCTGCTACAAAGTGTCAATTGCATTATTTTTAACAGAGTACACTACAGAATCTCATGGTTCACATTCAGTTTTGGCATTATGCTTGTTCCCAACTGGTTTTTCATTGCTACTGCCTTATGTAAGAAAAATCCATTTGTAAGATGGAGYGTTTGTACACTATACTTGGTTTGTACTTAGACATCTGCCACAGAACTGCACACATGTAACCAATACCAATTTATTACTCAGATGATTTCCAACTAAAGGCAACCAAATTCACAGTCAGCTTTCCCTCAAAGCAGTAATGAGTACAACAAACTTCCTGCACCACTTTCACCTGTCCAACTCATTTCTTATGCCTGGAGRCTCTGCTTAGGGAGAGCTCTCCAGTTCCTTTTCCCCTTCAGCAGTTCACATGTTAAGCAGAATAACCTGACTGACACCACACAGAAGCCAGAGTAAGAATGGCAAAGCAAGGTATCAACAAGAAGATGCATTCATGAACTCTGTGTGCTGACTGACCAACCCACCCTTTCTGTGAAAGAACAGAAAGGACAGTAGGGATATAGCTCATACCAGGCATGCAGTGCTGTTCTCCAAGACACACAGTTTACCAGGAATGCATTTTCAACCAATGCAAATACCTTCATWATAACAGTTCATAAATCATGCTTCCTTTAAAAGAACAACACACTGTCCAAATTAAAGGTAAGTCTTCAAATGCCTGACAAATACACAAAATAGCCAAATTTACCTCCACATTATCAAGCACAAGTTTGTATTTGAAAAATTACTAATTTGAATAACCCAGAGCAAGAATTCTAGATAGAAGACTTTTTGGTCCAGCAAGTGACAGAACCACTCTGTCCTGTTCTGTAAACAAGCAGTTAAATTACAGTCTTGATTTAAAACCACTCACACTCAGAGGGATGACACAACAGCACTGAGATTTGGCTTTTGCAGTCAACTGTATGACTTACTCCTTCTGGCATAAGAATAAACTTAAGGCATCAGGGGAAGGCATCACATTTTAGSCACAATGTTACCTGAGCTGTACAGAGATGACAAACTCACTGCTCAAACATAATTTACTAAGACCACTTTTGCCAACTTCTACCTATTAAAAACCCTTTAATTAGTAACCCTAATTACTATTTTAGTCCATTTATGAGATGTGCTAATGACAACAGTAGGAGGCACACTTGACTCAGAATAACTAGAGTTGAGATGAATATATACAAAGGGAATAAAAGTATTTGAAGGGTAACACTACACTAACAATATCCTTACAGTAACTGAAACTGAACACTGGCACAAAGCAATTGCTGCTGAGCTCTTCACAGCTCCACTMCATTCACAGCAGGGCAGGTATTTCACATTTAAACACCTGCACCTGATATTTTAAAATTGGTTCAGTTACAATTTGTTTCATACAGACAGGTCACTGAGTCAACCAGGATAGTCCATCAGTCATCTGTGTTGGATTTTTGCTACATCTGGTAAAATTGACTCAACTTCCACATATTGAGAACAGACAAAGAGTCTTAGCCAGGACCTTGGCTTGTTGGAGATACTAAGAATACCAGTAGGTCACCCAGTAAATTTCAGCTCTTTCCCCTTCTAATTCCTCCACAGTTAAATACATCAAGCAGAAGTGGCAATTCAATTACAAGGTAATTCAAGAGCCTTGAGGACAAAGASCAATATTTTCCTCCATTTCACCAACAACTTGGGAACACAAGCTGCATCTCATAAACAGCATCCAAACTTCCTTTGAAAGGAAGTACATTGATAGCCTCAGATTTTGGTCTTATTGCTAGAGTGCACATACATTAAAATCACACATAGTTGCGTTRTTCAATAATAAAAAGTCATTCTGCCAGACACCACCACAAAATCTTCAATATCACTGCTTAGAAAACTCTASGGGAGGTGGGACACCTCAGATGCCTACACTTGCTAGCAGAAATACAGAGAAAAAACTCTGCTATTGATGAGGAACATTATTTCAAGACAATTAGAAGTAACCATCAGTTAATTATGGTTACTATAATACAGCACRGAGGAAAATCATTCACATTTCCCTAATAAAACAACTATGCTTTGAAGGTTCACCAATTCTCAAACCATGGGATTTTGGAAAGCCAATGATATCTAAGTTTCAGTCCATCTTTGTGAACACAGATTTCATTTTGATACAAATCATGCATAACAAATATCAACCTGTCAACCATTACATTTTCCTATATAGGAAGGACATCGGAGGATATAGCAACCATACTAACAAATACCAAGTTCCTCCCTTTCTTTCTAGTCAGAAACAATAAAACAGGACTTAATCTTAAAATATTCTACTAGCTGTAGAGTCTAACTCTTTAGCAAACACTTTAAACAGCTATAAAATTTACATTCCTGTCTTAAACTTGCCACTTTGCACTGTCTCCTTCTGAGAGGAAAACTACACCCTTTGGAATAACTTAACCCACAAGGCACTCCTGCAATGCAGTTTCCCCTCCGAGCAAAACTACAAGTATTTGCCCCTCTCAAGTATTTTCATTCATGCTTTTTTGCAACCTCTTATTTTCAATATTACTCATGAAATTCATCAATCGATTGAAGGCCCAGCAACATAATCTTTAAAAATGAGGTTCTTTATTAAATTCCTTCAAAGGTGGTGCTTCTCAGTTTGTCCACCTGGTACTGATGATGATGAAGACACTTCAACAGAGGCAACATTAGTGAAAAGCAACTGATGTGAAGCTGGCATTAGTTTCTGATCAGTAAGTGTGAAGATTAAAACAGTCTTCAGAGATTAAAGTCACAGAACTCGAAAATAGAAAATATTAAAATTTCAAATAAAAGTACTATAATTTTGATGGGTGATTAATCTCCTCACAGTTCAAATTGCACAASCAAAGCTTCAGCAGAGACTAACACTTGATCATTTCACTTTTAATTAAAAATCAATGCTGAAGYAGACCACCACAGCAAGTATGTAGCCAGCCTGAAAGAGCAGGGCATGCTTAAGGGTCACAAAGAAAACTGGAAGTCTCTTCCACAGTTAGTGAGCACAGAATAATGGCAATAACATAATGAACCAAGATACTGGTAGAATGCTTGAGCAACCATCCAAAAGCAAATATGAATACAAAATTTAAAATCTTTTAATAAATTCCCTCAGCCTGACTGGAACAGATATATAATTGCTTTTGAAAAAGCTCTAGTGCAGCTACTGCAATCAATCATTTGTGAGCCACTGACTACTTAAAAACCCTAYGCAGAGTTTTGGGATTTTGACCCAATGCTCTTCTGTCTGCCCTAAACTGGCGGGGAACACAAACAATAATAAAGATGTACTACATAAGCCCCKTTATGAACCGCACCAAAACCCAACACTGAAAAACAAACACTAAACCTTTCAACTTTATACCAAAGCTTTGAAAAGAAACCAGCACACCAGGTATTTGCTCCTGGTACTCCAAGCTCTTCCCACTTCTTYTCAGGTTGTTGCACAGCAACCTGCGTCTGTTATACAAGCTCTGACTCGCAGGGAACTAAGGGTGCTCTTGCCATCCTTAGACGGGGCTGCTACAGAACTCTGGCTCTGCTCAGCCTAGAAACATGGTAAAAAAGCAGAGTCTTACTCCAGTTTAATCCATCAGTCATCTGGAAAGGWGAAACTTCAGGGTGTTTTTTAAAGCTACCAAAAGAAGGTAAGTTCTTTCTTTCCTTGTCCCTGTTAACAAGTACGAACCCTGCAAGGTGGAATGAAAAATACAGCTTTGCAAAACTAAAYGGTGTGATACACTACATGGCCTATGTATATTCTAAAGTTACCTCCCACAAGAATCCACTGCCACTACCTAAGAAATGTCTGTGAAAATAACGTGTTCACATTTTTTTTCCTAAGAAAATCACCTAAACAAATTCTGAAACATTTAGGGTAGCTCAAGTCGACATTCACTTACACTTTCCCTTGGCCTCCCTGAAGCTGCATATAAGTGATTGTACAATCCTCCAAGCTACCTTTTGGAAGCGTAAAATGCAAGACCCTGTACAAAACAGAACTGTASCATGTTTTGTGATGATAAAGCTAAAAGACTCATCAGAGAGCACAGTAKTTAAAGTAATTAAAAGGCAAATTGACTCCAAGGAAAGGATGCACCTTTCTTCCAAAGGACTGCCTCAGGTAAGGTCTGCAGTTCCTTCCGATTTAAGCAGACCTCGAGCTGATGGGTTTTATCCCCTTCAAGCACAGTGACTAGCACCTGGGAGAGTGGCTGTACTGTGGTAATTCACATTTTTTATTTTTTTATTTTACCTGTAGCTCACACCAGGCAACTTCCACAGTGGTTTCAGTATCCAGTCCTTTATATACAGTTTTGAAAGAGCCTCTTCCAATCTCGATGTCAAACTTCAGGAAGCGGCCATCCGGGGAGATGCCCACTGCCTTGGTCTCAAGCTCTTCGATGTCTTCCTGCTGTGTTCTCCGCTCCTCAAATTCCCGGCTRGCAGCTGACAGGCTGCCAGCGGCACTGGTAGGGGGTAGCGCAGTTGCCTCGTCCCCCTCCTCCTCCTCCTTGGGCAGCAGCGGGGCGGCATCCTTGGCGGCTGGGGGCTCCTCAGCAGACTGTCCTTCCAGAGGGAGCGGGGCRGGCGGCGGCGGCAGCGAGTAGGCCTCGGCGACGGTGACAGGGGTGTAAGGGGTCCGGCCGGCACCCTCGGGAGAGAACACCAAGGGCGCCGCGCTGCCTCCCGAGACAGGGGCCGAGGGCGCTGCGGGCTGCAAGCTGGGCAGCTCCAAGGCCGTGGCGTTGGAGTCGCAGATCACGCTCCGGCGGAAAAAGCGGTGCTCGGTGGCTGCCGCCCCTCGGCTGTCCTTGTCCATGGTGTGGCGGCGGCGCCGGTACTCCTCACTGCGGCCTCCGTTCCCCGGTCCGCCGCCCGCTCCACCGGCGCCGGCGGCTCCGTGCTCGGCGGCTCCCAGCTTGTCTCCGACGGAGCTGTCCGAGCTGGAACCGTTCTTGGGCGGCGGCGGCGGTGGCACCAGGAAGCGCGGGCCCGGGGGGCCGCTGCCTGCGGCGTCCCCCGACATGGTGCCCCGGGGGAGCGCGGCTGTGGCGAGGCGGCGGCGGGAGGCGAGCGAAGGGCCGGTCACTGAGCGGGGAGCGCGCCCGGCCGCGGCTGCCGTTGCAGCTGCAACAGAGGAGGGTCCCAAGGGCTCCTCGCGGCGGAGCTGGGAGGCTGGGCCGGCGGGGTGGATCCCCGGTCAGCGTCTGCATCCATCCTGCAGCGGGGAGCCGGGCAGCGGGGCCGACATGGAGCACCGGGAGCGGACACGGGGCGCCGGGATGGAGTGGGGGCGGCGAGGGAAGGGAAAGCCCGAGCACCGGGAGGCCCCCGAGCGGGGAGACGCCGCGGGAACACCAAGCGGTGCCTCGCCCGGCTGCAGTTACCCCCGGCGATGGAGAGCGAGCGGGGCCGGCCCGGGTGCAGGGAGGGGAGGGAAAGGGGCCGGGAGGCGAGGAGGGAGCGGGGCGCAGGCCCGCACACCAAGAAAGCCGCCGCGCTCAGTCACTCGCTCCGAGCGGCAGAGGCCCGGGCAGGCCCAGGGCAGGGAAAGGGGTCCCGGGGGCTCAACCCCGCCTCACCGGGGCGCCCATGGCGGCCGCGGCCTCTCCACCGCCCGGCAGGCGCAGCCACCGCCCGCGCGGCCGGGCCGCGCTCTCTCCAACAGCCGCGGCCGCCTCGCGCGGAGCCGGAAACCCTCCTCCTTCTCCTTCTTCTTCTCCCGCTACTGCCGCTGCTCCTGCTGCTCGCGGCCCACAGCTGCCGCTCACCGGGGCCGCCGCCGAGCCGAGTCCGGGTGGCGCCCGGCGGGCAGGACCGAGCGCTGCCGCCGCGGCCGCCCGGCGACGCCTCCGCGCTAAATGGCGACGGGCGGGAGCCCGAAACCGACACACGGCAGAGGGGGGAGGAGCGGCCGAGCCGCCGGCCACGCCCCTGCCCGAGCCCGGCAGCGTATCGTCCCTCCTACCCGCAGCCGCCGGGAGGTGGCCGCTCCCGCTGCGCGCGGGGCACCACGGGAGCTGTAGTTTCCAGCGGCCCGGCCGGGCCGGGGGAGCCGCCCGTGAGTTGGCTGAGGATGGGAGGATGGGAGGATGGGAGGATGGGAGGATGGGAGGAGGATCCCAGCGTGCACCCGGGACCAGGGGCCGATGTGCTGTGGGAGAGATCGTCCTCCATCCGCTCGGCGGGTCAAAAGGCACCGGGGCTGCTTGGACTCCTCATTTCCTCGAGTCCTGTTACACCCATACGTCAAATATTTTGAATGTATTTATTTAAATATTGTATATAAACAGATAAATATATTTCACAGAATATCCCGAGTTTGAAGGGACCCAGAAGGATYGAGTGCAGCTCCTGGCCTGGCACAGGAYACCCCRAGAGTCATACCATGTGCCCAAGAGCATTGTCCAAACACTTCTTGAGCTCTGTCAGGCTGGTGCTGTGACCACTGCCCTGGAGAGCCTGTTCCAGTGCCCACCCATGCTCTGAGTGAAGAATCTTTTTCTAAAATCCAACCTAAACCTCCCCAACTTCAGGCCGTTCCCTTGGGTGCTGTAACTTGTCCCCAGAGAGAAGAAATCAGTGCCTRCCCCTCCACTTCCCCTCACAAAAAAGGTGTAGACAGCGATGTGGTCATGTTTTCAAACAGCCTCTAAAATTCTTTAAAATCATGGGCCACAATAACTCCATGTAGCTGAGTACTGTATGAACAAGTGAAGGGTTTGGGTTTTTCTTCCATTTAGGCCATCTGAAGAGGCACTAAGTGGCCAAGTAACATAAAATGCAAATAACTGCTCTGTAAATTTCATTACTCAAAAGAAACAGAATTTGCAGCCTCTGCCTTTAACGGAAGTGTTATCTTGTGGCCATTTCAGTCCCCATTTGGCTGCTCCAGTTGAACCCAGGCTGTACAAAACCTGGGATGTACAACAGCCAGAGCCCACGTGAACCCTGACATGAATTGGGAACTTTCAGGTTAACAAGGCTTTGGCAAAGATGAGTCATCTAAATTATTTATATCATGTTCCTCTTTTGTATCAATAAACCAAAACCAAGCACTTTCCTTCTTACGACAGCATTCTTTTGAAGTCAACTGGAATGTACTTAAGAAGGAGTAAATTATTTTGTACCATGACTTTCAGGCAGCTACAAAGCAAAAATTACATTGAGGAAGAAAAAGAAAAATAAGAAATTTCCCCAAGTAAATAATATGTTCCCAGCAAACACACTGTCATTTTAAACATCTTTTTTTTAAAAAAAAAGTTACTTTTTAAACCAGCAGTTTAGAGGAAGTTGTGTGTTGCTGATGCGAGGCCTTAACTCCTTCTGCACAAAGTGGAACAAGTAGCCCTTTTAGAGCTCCACAGCTCCCAGCCACAAATCACCAACCCGAGCAATTCTCACGTGCTTGTGTTCCTCACAAATAAAATTTGACACCRCACGGTAATCAACATACTGTTGTTTTCGTACATCCTTCTGTCCTACTTTTTAGCCTTTGTAACAACAAACAAAATAATGGCCCAGTCTTCACGAGGAGGACAAAAGTGTTTTGTTGTACAATTCTACAGTTAAGATCCCTGCATGACTTAAGCTTTCTAGGGCTTGCCTTCACTGAAAACATTGATTTAGTTTGTATATTCGTCAGTATACCCCTTGAACTGCATTGACACCAAGAGCAGACACGCTCCAAAACAGTGCTGAGCTGAACAGGGTAATTTGATTAGCAGCAGAGTGACTGGATCGAAACTGATTAACTCACAATTCAATTTGCCAGTCCCTGCTGCACTGCCAGGACCAACATCCCCTCTGATAGCAAGCAGGGCTGAGCTTCACTCACACCTGACTGCAGGTATTTGTGGATGGCTCTGGCAGCAGAATGTCGATTCATTTGTAGCAGCAGCAGTGTATCCATGCTGGCTKTATACTGTTAAGAGTGGGAAGACACAGTAGCAGAGCTCCAGCAGGAGCTGAGACAATCGAGCACCCATTACATCCCCTGGGCTGTGCCACTCCAGCAGCGCTGCTGTTGCTGCCTCTGGATCTCCATCAAAGCTGAGATYTGCCTTCCTCCACTGCCCGCTGCATTTTTACCAGCCCTTTGGATGGGAGCAGCAGGAGTAGATGGCCAACCTTGCTCCAGCTTGATGTCTGATATAACTCCAGAAGCATGTACCTAAAATAATGCAGCGATAAATCACTCCCTGTGGTGTAAGCCCACAGAGCTGCTSGGTGAATTCCACTCGCATCATCACCAGGAGGCTTTGGCAGGCAGCTCGCAGGTCTGAGCCCAGTCCCATGTGATTCCTACACGAGGGAGATGGGCTGCCACTGGGAACCACCGCCCTGTAGCCTCCATGTGTGGCCTGCAGGAGACCTTGCGTGTAGCCCCTTCTTACTCAAATTCCTTTCACCCATTGTGCTTAAATATATTTTCCCATAGTTAATCAAGCAAAAGCTTTGCAAAAGAGACTATGGCATAGCCACAGGGGGCCAGAGGCGGTCGTCGACTAAAAAATTGTGGTAATTATTTAAAAAGGCACCTCCCCRGTGTCTGATCCAGCACATTCCTCAGTACTCTTGAAATTCAAGGAGGTTGGTCCTCAGTGAGAGGTCCYGAACATCCGGCTCTTCTCACTGGCTCCTCTTCTGGGCACAGGTAGGCAGAGCAATCATCTTGGCAGGAAAAATGAGCTGAGCAGCTGACCTGGAGGTGGGAATGATGGATTTTTGTCTTCTTTGGATCTGAAAAAAAGGAGTGGTATGAAATTGGCAATTATATTTTATGTGGGTGTTGATTTAATTTTGTCATTCTAAAAAAAGATGAATGTAATAAAGAGTGTGGGCTTGCTTTCCCTTCAATTTTATTTCTTTTAATCTGTAAAACTCTGTTTAGGCTAAATGGAAAATTTCAGTATTGCAGCAAGATTTAATAAGCCTGAAGTAAATTCYATATGTATTCTATGTTTAGAAACAATTAATTAAAATAGTTTTGGTGCTAGAGCTCCTCAGCCAATTAAAAATATTTCTCCTTTGCTGTAAGAAAAATCCACAGAAAGAAGGAGCCTGACTATAGYTGAGAAATTACAGGCAAAGAAACTTAAACGATCTTCTGATTGAATCCAAAGGGCTTRCACTTGACATTGTAAAAATATCCTTCTGTCAAGCCTCTTATAGTTACAATCATCTTGGTTGGAACAATAATAGTTTAAAAATTACTCTGAATGAAGTATGATTTTGAAGTTGACTGAACCAATTTTTTTTTTTTCAGTTTTGCTTTCTCTGGTGAAATTTCATCCACATTTTGGCATCTATGACCTGTCCATGTGACAAAGTTTTAATGGGAAGCAGCCATTCTCTATTTTCTCTTATGCAATACATTATGCAATACAAGAGGCTATGCCATAATTGTGATGCATGTGATTTCATTCCATAACCTAAGTGCTCTTCAAAGCAAACTCATCTCAGTTTTATTGCCCATTACCAGATTGCAGCTATGGTGCCATRTAACAGCAGTGACAATACAAGTTTTTCTACAACAGTTTCTTCCTTTTCCGTGATATTTCTTAAATCTGGGCCTCTGCCACAGTGTTCACTCTTGTTTCTTAAAGCTGAAAGTAAGTGAAACAAAACATTTCAATACCTCATGCTTGAGAAATGAGAGAGTTYAACTCCCCAGATATTCTGATTTGCTTTGTTTTGTCCCCCAGCAAATACAAGTTAAYTGGAAATTTAATCTAAAGACTTACATTTCTTTTCTTTTTAGTGAGGTTTTGCACTTGCAGGTAGTTCTGTAAGTTGGGTTGGTTATGAAATCTTTGTAACCATCTCTAGGGCTATAGACAGTTTAAATTTTCAGGCTCAGTATTGGGTGGTCCATCAGATGGTGTTGGATGATGAGTCCTGCCCAAACCGTTGAACCTGAGCAGTCTCTCCATAGGCAGGCACCAGGAAGTTGGAAGAGTGCAAGAACTACAAGTCTTACAAAGCTTTAAACTAAGCATCCCTCCTTATGCTCTCCTGGCTTACAAAGCCAGCAAGTTCTGCAGGAAGACAGGTCCACACTACGGCCTAAACACCTGAGCAAAGTTTGAGCTGTAGCTGAAGGACGAGTGAAAGAAGCAGCCAGACTGTATAAGAAAGGCTAAATCCAGAAATGATGCATTTATGTGACATTTCTTATTTATTGCTTGAGAAAATATCAACAATCCTGCACCATAAAACTGGAGCATAGCATGTGCTTCTTCGTCAGATTGAAACCTACGTTTCCCTTTCACCCACCCATCCACCCCCATTCTAGCTACCAGAATAGAAAGCATAACTCTTTTTTTTTTTTTTTCCTTTTTTTCACTATTCTCTTGAGCTACATTAACAAATGTATTCTAAGCRTGTGAAAGAAAACCAGTGAGAAAACCAGCAGAAGGATGTACCACTGGCTCTTTACTCATGCTTTTGAAGAACCAAAGTACAATTTTCCACTATATTAGTAACCCCTTCTAGTCTAGAGGTCATTGYAGRCTGTGCTGCTGYTCCRTGTTGTTTGTATCTAATCAACTATTGTATTTGTTATTAGCATATTTATCTATGTACATTCTTCAAACATAACCCATTCAGAAAAAGTTGAACAAGAATATGATAGAATGACATATGAAATAACTCAATCTCTGAATTTTATCAGATATGAGATTCAGTTATTGTTCATGCTCATGTGTATTTCAAACTGTATCAAGCCATAATGACAAACGCTGTGGTCAAATTGGAGCGTTGGTCCTACTCTGAGCAGAGGAAAAACATGGCTTGCTTCTTTCTTGGTCATCTTTGTGGCTATTCTTGTGATGTTTCCTTATATAACGAGTTTATGAAGTAGTCCAA